ACCGCACTTAGAGACTAAGGAGGAAGTTCAGAAAACGACCAAAGGTTCATTTCCACGTAGACTTTAATAAATCAGATGCTGGTCTCTGACGTATCTAACAAGTCCGGTGAGATGAGGATTCCACCCTTTGGTGGAGTCGTACAGAATGTAAGGATGTTATACATAACTGCTCTATAGCCGTCAGTGGTGGAAATTGGGCAATCCGTTTCTTTAAGAAGAAAGGGAAGAAAACCTGTAACTATGGTCAAAGTGAACAGATCGGATGTATGCGCAGATATCACGTGCATGTACTAATTACATAATATTCTACATTATGCGCCATGCAGCTTAAAGATTAACTGCCTTCTAGCCTCAGAGATGTAGTTTTCAACCCTGCCCGAAAACATTGGTAGATAGATCGTTTAGTATGGGCCAGGAGTGAAGATGGAGATTCTGTTCAGCAGATCACTCCTCGGTTCCCTTGAGATCAAAAAGTTCATTAAAACACAACAGTTGGCGTCACAGGAAGCTAAAGGAATGAGCGGTGACGTCAAAGTCTAAACTTAGTAAAAAACTTAACGATTACCTTGAAATGTTCGAAAGCGTGGGCAAACAGTAGAACCCATTTCTAAAAGGGAGGCATTCACCGCCCATGCACTCTGGTCTGGTACTTGGGAGAAAAAAGTGGATGTTTGCTGTTCAGTATTATCCAAAACAATTCTACCACTTGCAACCCCCATCCTCCCCCCCAAAAAAAATAGTCAACAGAAACATTGTTATTCACTCATTCTGTGAGACCTGCCTGGACAAAATGACCAATTGAATATCCCTCTTGTCTACAAATGTTGCTGACGCTTGACTGACAGGCACATATCGACTGACATGTTTTTGCGCAACAGACATACAAAAGTCGAGGTTTAAGAGATTAATGCAATCAAACTGTGCAAGACACGGCACTCATCTCCAGATTGTTGATATTCATGGGAGAATCTTACCCGGGACACCAATCCCAAAGGAGTAATCCCTCTAGTTGCAGGTGAGCACACGACTCGACCTTGGGGCGTTGGTATACAGGAAAGAGGGAGGCTCTGAGGCATTTATCAGAACTCCGGTCAGAAACTTGTCCTGATTTACACACCAGCTTAGGTGGTGAAACACTCTAAAGGGACGATTGTCAGATCTCCAATCTGCGAACAGAAGAAGCGGGAGAGTGTTCTTATGCAGCCTCTCTAGAGAAATTACATCAGCTGAAGCATTCAGAGATCCAAGGAAGAGAGGCAGACGCAAATAGAAAATTAAGTCCTCTATAACACATTCGTTGCTATGGACAGTATATCTGCGATCCTGTCAGAAAAACAATGAACTGTCCCTCCATTTGAAAGAATATTTGTTTCTGAATAGGCGATATTCTCTGAAGTAATAAAATGTTATTTCTGCTGGTGATGTGTATTAAGCCCAGGTGAGTCACTGACTTTCGACAGATTGACAAGTTTTTGTGTAAGATACGTTTGAAAAGATGAGTTTCAATGAGTCAATTGATGAACAGCACCCCATTAACCCACCCCAATCACCTGAAGTGCGGCGCAATTATTCGCATATGCCTGGTAAAGACGCTGGATTTGGAAACTGGGTCAAAGGATAAAGTCCGAAATTGCGAAATCGTGTCAGACTACGGGAATTTATTGTGGGATGGATAGGTGGCGTCGTTTAGGTAAGAATCCTGAATGTCTTCAGTCACTGTCCACTAGTTAGCCCTTATGGCATTACTGTCTGTTGCTGATGTCTCATACTTGAAGTATCCTTCTCCCCCCCCCAATAAAAATAAAAAGTGTTTACATGGAAAAGGAAGATGATGAAACAAACTTCTTCAATTTTTGTAAACCAGATAAATAGGTAAATAGTGCACGAGCTTTCGATGTTTAACAAACTCTTTACTACACCCTTCCTTAGAAGAGTTTATACTTCTTCCTTAATTGATATAGTGAAAATAAAAAGGATTCTTTGATCCCAAAGTCGATAACTCCCTCTTATTGTGGGAAAACCAATTCATCGTCCGTTAACTCCCGACTATACAAGTCTCTGAAAAAGGTCTTGTGTGGCATAAACTGGAGAGAGAGAGAGAGAGAGAGAGAGAGAGAGAGAGAGAGAGAGAGAGAGAGAGAGAGAGAGAGAGAGAGAGAGAGAGAGAGATCTGCCCTAGCCTTTAGTGTCACACCATTTAGTGAATAAGGGGTAAAAAGCTGTAGGCGGGGAACCAATAGATCTCTCAACTCAAACTGATGGTGCTTCTTTGCTGCCGGTTTAGCGGGAACAGGGACCATAGCCAACAAATGGTTTTATTTGATATCTCAGCTCTTGAGAGGCCATAGTTGGAATACAACTGCCTAATAAGTATCGAGTCCAGCAGCGTCAGCCGAAACGTATCTTTGCTGTGATCCACCAAGTCCGTATACGTATCCAAGGCAGCATCCCTATGTAGTCGGAGCAGTTCATACAAAATTGGATGTTTTTATACATACAATCTGGCGAGAGTCCTCGTATGTATTGACACAGAAGCCTTCAGACATTGTTCCAAGGGCATAAATGCTTTATCAAACATGCACACTTCATCATTCATGGCATACTGGGAGAGGGGAAGAACACCTTCCAGGCATTCCACCTGGTGTTGATGGTAGTCTCCAAGACCCATCAGCAGTTGAACCAAAACAATGCAAAAGAAAGGTATTGACCAAGTTCTTTTCACTAATGAGGTCAGATTACTCTTTGGTCCTGATCAGAAAACTACAAACTTAGCTGCAGGCAGAACGAATGCCTGATGACTAGTAGTTATCGTCATATGGTGCCCCAAATCCATCGATTTGCTTCCTGTCTCTGATCCATTACCAGTCATTTGATGACAATTTCTATCCATGTAACATCCATACACTCCTACCCAAGTAACTTGACTCAATTTACAATCTTGAAACCTTTGACATTCGATAACTAAATTTTTAAGATGGTAGCTGTAGCAGCGATATTAGCAGTCAAGTTCTCACCAATTTCATTTAAAACCAACTAATCATCATAAGCAGTCTTTTCGGTGCAATGATATGACCGTCTATTCATCAGTAAGAGCAATACCAATATTTCCAATATGGCTACCATTGCGTCTATAGTGAGTGACTGAGCTGCACAGAAAGGATAAAGGAAACCCTAGGATATTTATATCTGTAAAGTTTTGTGGCATTGTTCCCGGTCATTTAAGGATATTGACAATAAAATTGTACAAATGGTTGCCAGATGAAAGGCGATCTTGCAAGTTTTTCTTGTATATAACTAGTCAAGCTAAACACAGCTTATCTGCCCTGTGTACCAACTATTCTCAAACAAGATGCTTGTATGAATAATATACTACTGATGCTAACCTACTTGTAATGATGACCTATTTCTGAGTATGACCTACTTGTAATGATGACCTATTTCTGAGTATGACCTACTTGTAATGATGACCTATTTCTGAGGATGACATACATCTAGTGATGACCTATTTCTGAGGATGACCTACATCTGATGATGACCTATTTCTGAGGATGACCTACATCTGATGACAACCTGCTTCTGTGGATTAACTTCCTTCTGTAAATGACCTGCTTCTTAAGACGACCTGCTTTTGTCAGTGACATATTTATCATGACCTATTTCTTTGTATTACCTGTTTCTGAAGATGACCTGCTTCTGTGGATGACCTACTTCTGAAATGCACAATTTGAAGCAAACCACAAGTTGCATAACTTAAGAATTCTAGTGACAGTCAATATTTGAAAATGCAAGACACAACAATAAAATCCTACTGATAATTTACATTAATATTTATTTTCCTGCTTCATTCATTTATTGAGGATGGTGCCACGAGCTGCAGAGAGAGAAAGAGTGGTTTAAAACACTCACCGTTATACCATCTCATCTACCATCTCACCTCTGCATGGGTTAGAGTCTCGGGTTTGGCCAATGTACATATGTAAGAAAGATTGCCATTTCGCTTCTTGTGAGTCGGTGGTTTTTACTGGGTTTTCAAGGGTTCTTCCTCCACCATTTATACTAGCTGACATGTATAGCCGATAATGTGATGAAAAATTGTGTCCAACCCTACAACAAAAACAATTAATGAGGATCAATGAAGAAGGTTTGCACCTAAACCAGAGAAATGTGACAAAGGTTGTAACCCACTGGGAAAAAATATCACAGCAGTGGTAAAGATGGACCTTCTGCAGATCAGTTTGAAAAAACATTGTCAATATAGTTAAGCTCTTTTATTGATTGGATATATGAATGCTTCAGTACTTTTATTCCTACATAATATATCACTACATTAAACAATTTATTCATTATATTTGTGGAAAAGCAGAATTATGTGGTATAAGACAGCCAGAGTTGGCAAGCCCATTATTATGCAAACAAATATTACAGGAAAGATGAATAGATACCTGTCAACTTGGAAATAAATGACTACATAATTTAATACTAACCTCCTCCAATTTATTTGAACAGCTGTTTTCAAAGAAAAATATTTTAACAAAAACACCTAATCTCACGCAGTTGTGTCTATATATTGAAAGAAACACAATAGGAATGTCCTGAGCCTCTTCCATTGCATGTTACAAAAATACAATGTTTGTAAATATATGTCCAGTGTACTGGCCATCTTTTAAAATGTCCAATAAAGCCAGTTGTCCTTTTACTAATAACTTCAGTTATGTGACTATGAATCTATGAATACACAATATAGTTCAACCCTTGGATATTTTGTGATGTGATGTGATTATGATTTTTAATGTAACTTTAACAATTTTTCAGTGAGATCATTACGATGGCTCTAGTATGGCAGTTTATAGTGAAGCTTTGCAATGGGACATCATGCCGCAGACATGTAACATGATGTCCCATCCAGTCACATTATCCTGACACCAGGCCAACCACTAACTTCTTAATGAAGGTGCTTGATGTGAGGCAGCTGTTAGTACCATTTTTGTAAGTCTTTGGTATAACTCGACCTGGGATCGAACCCACGACCTCCTGCATATGAAGCACATGCTCTAACCACTAGGCCACCGGAGCAGTTCTGGATATTTTGTGTTCACGTGGATATATCTAAACAATATAGTTCAACCCTTGGATATTTTGTATTTACATGGATGTATCTACACAATATATTTCAACCCTTGGATATTTTGTGTTTACATGGATGTATCTACACTATATCAATCCTTGGATATTTAGTGTTTAGATTGGATCATTGCTTATACAGCCACCTCTTCTGCATCGGGACAGCCGTATTATAAGACGAGTGGTCTTTCCAGAGCGGGGCTATATTTGTGAGATGTGCATGTATATATGTATGTAGTATATATATGTATATTTAAAACAGTTAATATCTTCAATTAAAAGCAGCATTAATTATTAAAATGTTCTTCTTGTTTTAACTTTAAGAACAGTGTTATTTCAAGGTAACAAAAATTAATAGTTCTTATTCTTGGGTGTGGAATGTGAGAGGGATATTGTTGGCATGCACATTACAAAACCATTTAAAATTTTATTTAAATCATGGTACATTCGATGTTTCATATTTTAAAATAATTTTCTTCCCATTTATTCCATTTTTCAACTGCTACAAAATATTCTCCTTATATATTTTACGATCTTTATATTTTAATCTCGCCAACAAAAAATCTGTTGGCAAGTGAACTCTCCCTATTGTGTCAAGCTGAATAACTTTTACTTTTCCTTCTAAAGTTTTATTTCTTTATTAAACGTGATGACAGCAATTTCAAGTAAAAATTAATAGTTTGTATTCTTAAGTGTGAAATGTGAGGGGTACATTTTACTTGTTGTGCATTAATATGTTGGCCGTTGGTAATGTTAGAGGGGTGGCCTTTCTTGAAGGGTACTTCTAAACAAACTTGTCGGTGCCAAGGGATTCTGACCGTAAAGTGTGGGGTGGCTGCTGGTAAGTGGGGGGTGGGATGGGTTTCATGAGTGGGACCACTGTACATAGATGTACCTACAAGATATATTTCAACCCTTGGATATTTTGTGTTCACTAAACAAACTTGTCGGTGCCAAGGGATTCTGACCGTAAAGTGTGGGGTGGCTGCTGGTAAGTGGGGGGTGGGATGGGTTTCATGAGTGAGACCACTGTACATAGATGTACCTACAAGATATATTTCAACCCTGGGATATTTTGTGTTCACCTAGATGTACCTACATGATATATTTCAACCCTTGGATATTTTGTGTTCACCTAGATGTACCTACACAATATATTTCAACCCTTGGATATTTTGTGTTCACCTAGATGTACCTACACGATATATTTCAACCCTTGGATATTTTGTGTTTACATCAATGTTACTACACAATATAGTTCAACTCTTTCAGTGTTTACATGGGTATCTACACAAATTATTTAAACCCTCATGTATTTAGTGTTTACATGACATGTACCCATACAATATCTTTTTCAACCGTTGCATACCTTGTGCCCTTAGAGATATAATTACAGAAAATCAATTTCAGTGATAAATTCAAATCCTCTTTAAAACACCTTACAAAATAAGTTGAAGTGTTTTGAATACTAGAATGATATTAAATGGAAGAAAATACTTCAAACTTTGTGTATTTGGATCATTTGTTTATTATTACTCAGTTGTAAACTGTACATGTATATGTGTACAAATTCTTGATAATAAAATAACTGCATGAACTCTTTTTAAAGTTATAGATTTCTTACAAAGTATTTAACAAAAATATTACCTCTTCTGAAAAAATATATATGCAATATTATTAACATGAAACACTGGCATGAAATCACTGTAAGTACAGTAATATTTGAATAAACTCTGCACAGTATAAAAACTAAAAATTAACAAGTTTTCAATCAAATTGTTCTTGCTTGATTAGACGACCAATATAAAGATAAGCTTTCCTAATAAATTGTTCTAATCTGGTTTGAAGGCTAATACCAACATGAGAAATTTCTTGAGTAAAATGAAGCTAACGGCTTCACTAAAACATTCCTTCTCTCTTCCCATCATTATTACTATTAGTATTGTTGTTGTTGTGGTTATGAAAGTAAAGAAAACTAATATTGGGATAACTGTCCCTGAAGGCACTGATTTACAGATCTCATCACCCCACATCATAAGCATGGCAAATGCTTCAGACTTCTTTTTTTGGTTTATGTCTCAGTCTATGACAACAATTGAATGAATTGTTTGAAGAAATCAGTGTCTCTGTGGTGCAAGTTACTTTTTGAGAACCACTGCTAAGAGCAGCATTATGGGCTAAAAACAACTGTACTAGATAGACAATCTTGAATTACAAACAAAATTTTGTTTTTGGACTGATGCTGCTAACAGCAATGTTTTTCCAATAAGGAAGTGACTATGTCTTCTAGCTTTATTCCATATATGGCTCTATTTTTTTTCAAATGCTTGAACCAGTTGCTTTGATCTGCTGTGATTTAATCAGGTGCAGAATATCAATATGCAATCTAAATAGCTGTGATGTAGAATGGTGAGATTATATACAGTAGTCATCCATACATGACATGAACCTTATTGTTAAGACAGGAAAAGCATCAACCCAGATTTGCCAATACATAATCTTCTGACAGGTCTCAGACTTACCATATATACTCACAAGTACATCTGCTTCATCTGCAAACAACACTGACCCCGACCTCATGTTGCATAATGCATTGGCAGATCATGTGCCTATGTTGTTTGTTTTATACCTAATACATTTTGCACAGACCCAGATCTGTCAGGACATTATTCAACAACAGATCTGAAATCTGTGCAACTTGCACCTGGATCTGACTTTTAAGCGATTAAGATGGTGATGTACCATATTCTTTGACTGAATTTAATAACAAATCACATTTTTAATCGGTTAAATTAACAAATACCATTTTTAATCAGTGAAATTGTTATCAAATAGCAATATTAATGGTGTTTGTAACATTCTGACAGAAAACTTAGTTTAAAACTTTTTTAGTTCTTGAACAAAACATGAAAAAAATAATAATATAACAAAAAATAAATCAAAATTTTCATGCACGAAATACTGGCTGAAAAGAAAGTATTTACATTAGAAATTGCAATATATGCTATATTACAGTTTATATATTTGTGTAAAAGATGGAATCAAGAAAAAAAAATAGATGGATTTTTTTCATAACTTGGTAACATTTTATGTGCAAAATATACAAAGTGCAATGAAAAAAGTAAAAATTCTTTTTATACTAAATAAATTTTGCTGCTTTTGAATGGAACATAATTGAACAAACTGACATGAAAAAATGCATACATGTACTTTAAGTACAATAATTTCTCAATATCCAGTATAGTTAATTAAAACTTACATAACTTTTCTGAAGTTTACTACTGAAAAGTTATGTCCTTTTCTATAAATTCTAAAACTTCTCCCTGCTTGTGATGTATGCTGAATTTCTATACTTTCAATTAAACCCTTCCACCTGACCAAGCTGTTTCTGTTTATCCAATCTAATAGAAAAGAGGTTAGAAATAGCTACACCAAATGATATCCTGTAACACAATTTGTCAACTGTGAACTATATTATGATGGCTAGATTTATTCTGCTTCAGGCAGGACACTTAAAAGTCCTGACATATCAGGGTACAAGCACTGCATCAGATTTTCAGCTCAATACAGCAAATGATGCAGACAAGAGACCCAAGTGAACATAATATTAATGACCTGTAGGGTTGGATTAAGGCTCTAGGCATACAAATATACACTTTCAGTAACATAACATTGTGTTTATGGTGCCTACTGTGCCAAATGGACAATGCAGCCCTGCTCACCTGAATTAACATAACTCACCAGATGACCTTATCACTAAGCTGGCTTATATATTACTGTTAGAAAACTATGTAAACTATATTTCAAGTTTATTTCCTGATGAATTTACCAAATTGACTGTCTCCTCATAAAAATTTGTCTTAAAGATAATCACATAATCAATACAAACAGTATCTTGGTCACAATCAAAAATTTTTATCACATAAACCCATGCACCAAGACATCATTAAAATAAAATGGGTGAGAAATAGATTGAGACTGCAGTCAATCAGATTTCTTTTAAATCAATAATATCACCACTATCTGAAGAATGATCAAAGCCAGACCAAAAACATATGGCTTCAAAAGTGGCAACAAGTTTAACCAATCAGATGCATGATCACTTGGCTACTATATTATTAATGTGCTCAGCCAATAAGATTCAAAATCACATCACTATGTATGGTTCTTGCTTATTATCAAAACTCTCAAAGATAAAATAATAGAGTATAAAGCTATATTCCCATGTTTGATCAAATCGGGTCAGAAATACCATCTCTATGATGGTCACAAACTCAGCCAATCAGAGGCAAGATTAACATGAATAGATCTCACTCATTATAAAACCAGATTTTAATGATAATAACCTAAATTCCATGTCTTATTGAAAATGGATCAGAATTATGGACTGCAGCTTGATAAACATTTATAGATGCACAATGGATGTTGGATCTTACCATATACTCACTTGGCCATTTGGCAAGATGAATTAAACTATATGACCGTAAAAAAAAAAAATTCACACCCCCCCCAAACCCCTCCAAGCCATGGTGACTCAGCATCTAGTGGTAAACTCCTAACCAGAAGGGTACAGGTTTGAATCCTGTCCAGAACAGACTGGGTTGACCAATATTATGTGGTGGTTGACCTAGGTCTATCCTTCTGACACAGAATTAACCCAGATTTGTCAATACATTATGGACTGTTTGATCTAGATCTATCATGCTGGCATTTAGAAATGACCCAAATCAACTAGCACATGCTTTGCTACTGGCATTCAGATGTACTTTACACAGTGGTCTTCTTTTTATGCTGATCAGGTGGATCATAAAAGTGGTTTCTCACTATCAGGGTAATAAGGGGATCTAAACTACAACTCTCCTAGAGATCCAAGTGATCCACACTACAGTTCTCTCTGAATATCCGTAAAACTAATCCTCACTACAGTTCTACTCTATAGATTCATAAAAAATGATC